AGGAGGAGGGTTTGGGTTCCCCGGCAGGGCACCGCTACAGGAGCAACAGACACACAGAGCTGAACACGAGCTGTTTTGCAGCAGCTGGGTAAAGAGAACATTAGAGCTGCCTTTCAACCAAGTGGGTGAAGCCTTGGTGGAGAAGATGCCGCTCTGATTGCTCAGACACCATGGTGTAGCACCAGGGACACTGAGGCACAGAGGAGCTAAACTGGAACCTTCTAAAATGGGGTGCGCTTTGTCGTCTATGAAGTAAATTGCTAAATTTGCTCTTCATTTCACTGCTCCCTCTCCGATCTACTCTTCTCTCTCACCCCCTACAAACGCTTCTCTTATGCCTGATCTCCGCTGCCTAGCTACCGGGTCCTCTTCCCACTACTCATGGCTGGTAGATCCAGGCCTACTGGTAGCTCTAGTCCCCGAGAACCTCTGTTCCTCTCATTTAGCAGTGGCCCCTCCTCATTCCCAGCGGCACTGATGAGTTTGAACACATGTGCTAGCAGCTGGGAAATGAAATCAGACAGTTCTCCACAGCCCATCAAGTGCTCTGCAAATCACAGATTGATACCACTGGCCTAGGAGACTTGCCTAAGCTAGCACAGGGGGCAACTCAGATCTGCTGCCTCCCAGTCTCTTGCTCTTACTAAGAGACAATCCTACACTTGAACTCTTTTCAAAGCCACACTGTGCTGTAGGGGGTGGGGGGCTGGCAGTGCAGCTCCATATTGAGACCAGGGGACAAGTTGTCTTCTAGTATAACTTGGTTTACCTCCCCTGAGGTCAAGGGAGCTGCTCCACTTCATGCCAGCTGAGAAACTGACCCTCAGGAGGGATGGATGCTTTAGAAGGGGGAGCATTGCATACATGCTCACTATCCTTAAACGGGACTTGAATAATCAGAAAGAAAAGAAGCCCCTTTACAAGGGTTTAGATCCCAAGGAGCCCTGAAAACTCTAAACCTCCATGTAAAAGGTCAGGCTGAGCATTCTGCGGATCTCCCTGGCCTAGAGATAAATCTAATCAGCATAACCAGGCTTCTTGGGGCCCAGCCAAACTCCCCACAGGAAGAGCCTGAAACTAAGAATTCACAAAGGCCTCCTTCAGCCTGGTGCCTTATCAGATTTCACCCCAAAGAGAGGGGCTTTGTACAGCCAAAATGTAAACTAGTGGCTAGAGGGCTTTTCCCATACTCTCCCTCCTAGGAGCCCTGGGGCCTAAGTGCACCCAACCCCTCCCTCTTAAAGTCTGGGTGCTGGGGAATTAATACACTACAGCTGGCCCAGCAATCCCTATACTTAGGATATGCAGCTGTGCTTATTCCTTCAGGCAGCACCAGAGTGGGTTAACCCTTTCCCTGCCAATCCATGGGCAGGGTCTGGACATGCCACTGCAGTTACAGCGGGGACGTGTGCCAGCTATTTGGCCGGATTATGCCATTAAAGCACAGCCCTGCGGCAGGGGATGTGGCAGGGGGGTCACACTGCAGGGGGGAGCCTTTGCAGGCTAGAATTCCTCCTGGCCCCTGGACAGCAGTTCCACCAGGCTTTGGCAGGGGCAGAGTGCATGTTCTGGGATGCCACATCTCTGCTGGTGCATGGATTTAAGGGCAGGAGACATTGTGCCACCTTCACCCTGGCCCTCCCCATGTGCACCACAGCCCAGCACGCTACCTGCATTATCTAGTCACCCTCTGGCTGTCCCCTGAAGGGGGGTACCAGGGAGGAAGGGAGGGGACAGGAAAGCTCTCACATTGGGCACCTACACAGGACCAGAGACAACCTGGCTCTGTGTATATAACAGTATCACCATTGCACTGTAAGTGGCAAGCCGGGCAGCTGCTACCGTGGCAGAGCAAACTCACTCAGGAACAAGAGGTGCTTTGAGGGAGGAGAATGTGGTCCCTCCCCTCTGGTTTCAGGGCAGATCTCAGCTCCTCGGCAAGCCTTTTAGCAGATGGGGAATTTTACTCTGCAGGCAGGATTTACCTCCACATCCCAGACCAGGCTGTGTGGCCCATGAAGGATATGTTTTGTTTTCTAATGCAGGCGAACAGCTTCTCTACCAGATCCCCAACAATAAGGTCCTCACTACTAAGATTGGCCTTTTGAGCAACCTGAGGGAGTATGAGCGGGTGATGAACAAGATCAGCAAGAACTTGAATGCCAAGTAAGGACTGCACATCCCTTTGGGCATTACACAGCCAGAATATAGAAACCTGTGCCACTTGGGGAGGTACCATGTAAAGGAGAAGTTGGACAGATGGTCACCTCGTTGATGGGATGAGAAATCATCTGGTAGAGATGGGCTTGTGAGACCCATCCTGGAAATCCTTGGTTTCTCCACCCTGTGACTAAAACTGATTTCTGATTAAACTCTGATGAAACTCCACCCTCTACTTTGATCTTAGAACTTTTCAGAATCATTAAGCTAGCCAACCAATCCCGTTTGTATAGCTCCACTGATGATGGACAAAACAAAGATTGTTTTAAAAAGCCATCGTGTGCCACTATATTTAACTTTGACTTCACTAGCTGTCACACTGATTCATGCAAAGTCTCATATCAAGTAACCCAGCATGGTACAGCACTATCAGATCTGGGGACATCACGCTTTCTCTTCTTTCTAAAGTCTTGTATGCTCTTCTTTCTTCTCCTCCATCCACTCATCTTTTGGCGTTATGTTTTGATCCAAAGCGCACTGGGAGTTAATGGAAGTCTTTCCACTGATTTCAGTGGATTCTGGACCATGCCCTGGATGACTGATCAGAGTGAAGTAGCTTTTCTCCTCTACTCAGCTGTAGTTAAGTTCAATGGTCCATGTTTTCTGCTTCAACCTTCTAAAGATCTTAATCTTCACTTCAAATGAGCTAAGCTTACGTGGATGCTGAGTGCTACATTTTTAGTAGGCTTTAACTTGGTGCATAGTTTTGGGGGGTTCAGTTTTGCTCCTCCAACTAACTGTGTCTGCATTTTTGTCTCTTCTCTGGCATTAATATTGGGCTGCAGTCACCCACCTATTCTGGGGGTTTAATCTCTTTTGTTATTTTGAGTATGAAACAAGAGGTATAAAAGCCATGGCGGAGGGCAGGGGGAAGGTTTTGGGTTTTTTTTTGAGTCTTGAAGGAGTAAATTATAAAAATGAATACATCTTTTATCTATACCTGGGACTGTAGAACTGCCTGATCCCCAAAGGTACCAGTTGTAATGAATCCCCCCATGAAAGATGAGGTGGGAACTCTTGAAGCTCTAGAGCATTTTGTAAATATCAGATACGGCACATTACCACCTCTGCTGCAGTGTTATCTGTACCGCAAATAACCTCTGCCATGCTTACCTGAGGCCCTGTCTGTTAGTTTGCAGCAAACCTAGTGTGTAAAAGACATCATCAAGGCCAACAGAAATTCTGTAGAGTTTAAGGAAACATTTGGCCATATCTTAGCATATATTCTCCAGCATTCCCTCCTGGGACTTCTTCCATTATTCAGATTTGGAGGAGAAGCTCTAGTTTTGCCCAGATCCTTGTCTACCTCTGATAAATAGTCAATATTGATTTACAAGCTGCTGCCTGTCCCAAAGTCTTGAAGCGCTTGATGCAATATTATTAGGGATGGGCTCAAGACCCAGAAGTCAGATCCAGATTTGAACGTTCCCAAAAGTTGGAGTCTGGGGTTGAGAGTCAGGCTCGCCTCTAGAGGTGATCAAGAAAAACATTGTTATTGTGAGTAAAAAGCCTTCCCCAATGGAAATAAAAGAGTGCAGGGGAAGAGAAAAGGGAAAAAAATCCATAACCCAAGTCTACAGTAAGATGTGTCCCCTACCTCTTGTCTGATGGGAACTCAAAAAGGGCTGTATGGCTCAGGAAAGGTTTTTTGGCTTATGGTCGGTTCTCCCATAGGATACTGAAGATGGAAGACTTCTTCCCAGAATCCTTTCGTCTGGATATAAAAGATGAGAGAGAAGCTTTCTTTGAACTTTACAAAGGTGACTAGTCTTTGCACATTGCCAATGATGAGGTCAAGTGTTCTGGGAGAAATATTGTTTTTTAGATGGCGTAGTGATCCCAAAGTAATTATGAAAAAGCAAACAATAAATGAGGGACTTCCCTGCCCTGCTTTGCTCCCCAGTACCTGCCCACTCCTTCAATTACCCCAGAAATCCCTGGTGTGTTAGCAAGGTGCCTATGGCGTCTCTGACCTGCCCAAGAATCAGTCACACTACAGCTCCCAGCAGTCATTTCAGCCGCTCTTCTGGAATATCACTAGGGCTAGAGAGTGAACAGTAAATGTCCTGAATCCCAATGAATATCAACAACATGTGGGGTATTCATCTAGACCCGAATATTGCTGACAGGTGGGCTACTCAGAGAACGTGACTCACCGACCCCAGTTTCTCTGACACGTAGCCCAAATATGCCCCTTCAACATTCAGATTGTTTTGCCTGGCCCAGAAGTTCCCCACCCCACTATCTCTAGCGATCTGTCAGCTGCCTTGTAGGTATCTCCTTGCACAACATCCCCTCCTCCAAGTTATCCAAACCCTGGAGACAGACTCTTGCCTTGGGCAGTGTCAGACAGAGGCTCCCGCCAACTTTCTCCCTTCAGCTGTTCCCTTGGCCATCATCACTAGACATCATCACCAACGCTTTTGTTTGCCCGCTCGCTTCTCCAATACACCAGCAAAAGCATCCCGGAGGCTGGCTGCAAATGCACTTGAAGGCCCCATCAATCAGGAGGTGGAATCAGAGTCCAGTCTCCAAAGCTAGTGCTATCATGGTAGAGCTGAGACCAACTGGCAAAACCCAGCTCCAGATCTTACATGACACCAAAGCTTGGGAGTGTGCAGATCTTAGGTTAGCCCCAGGCCCTTCTTTATTTGTGAGCTACGATATTTAAATATATATTCAAATGAGCATGTTTCAGCGCCCATTCATTGAGCATGTTGGTGTCTCGGGATACCATGCTATAGTAAATGTACAGTATCCATAACGACGCTGTAATCTAATAGACTCTTTCTTGTCTGCAGACACACAGATTTGGATCTGCAAACCCACCTGCTCCAACCAAGGGCGAGGAATTTTCCTGCTTAAAAATCAAGCAGGTGTCAACTCGCTTCAGGCCAAACTCCAGAGCATCGAGGAAGACCCTCTGTACAAGAAGGTGCCGTACAAAGCTCCCCAGGCAAGAATAGTGCAAAGGTAGAGAATGCAGCAGGCGGGCACGCCATTGCATCCATTTGCAGTCCAGCGATTGCTGGTGACAAAGGGGAAGAAGGGTGTTCCCATGATGTTGGGGCAGAACTGGAAGAGCTGGGTTCCCCTCCTGAATCTGCCACAGACATGCTCTGTCAGCGTGGGTATATTGCTTTGCTTCACGTCCCTTCTCCTGGCCAAATCCAGAGCTCTTTGCTCATTTCCCATTCAGACCTTTGTAAGGGAAACTCCCTCTGACTTCAGCTTGGAAACTGAAAAAGAACTGGGCCTGGCGCTCTCCGCCCCTGTGTCATCCAGTCCCCTGAAGGTTAATGTTTCCGAAAGCATCTGTCTGAGCACTGACATGTTTGGGATCACCTCTATGGGCCTGATCCAGTGCTCCAAGAATTCAGTGGAAAGGTGCCAGCTGACCTCCAGGGGCACTCAGTCAGGCCTTATTGACCTTAATGACTTGAATTCCTTCATAGCTGTTTGATGGTTCACACCATCTCTTCTCAGTGGCCTAGGACTCACTATGCTTTGTGGGTAGAGGGCTATTTCTCAGCTGAGCCTGTTTCAACACCTTCATGTCTGACATTTGGAGATAGGTCATCGCCATCAAACAGGAGGTTTGAGATGATCTCTATCTAACAATGTAAGAATGACTTCCAAAGGCCAGATGCTATAGCTTCATACATGACAAAAGCCTTGTATAGAGCCATTTGAATGAGGTATTATCCCAGCTTGTTACACCATGCCAAGATTTCACACACCATACAGCTGCAGCATCTGTGCCACCCATTCTATGCCTCCTATATATCTGTTGTAGTCTGCCTGGTAGCTGTGAGCTTCTTGACCTCAAACAGGAACTGCTCTTGTAGATACTCATGGCCGGTAGTCAAAAGAGACACATGCTTTCTTTGTAAGAACTTCACAGCTAACTATATTTTTTAAGCCGAAGCCCAGAGAGTCTCTGGCTACCAAATGTTATTGCTGTCTCCTTCTGATGTCTCTGCAAGTGTCATACTCCAGGGGACTGCAATAACACCATACAGCTTTCTTTTGTCTAGTATCTCTCTTATCAGCTGCATCCCAGAATGCTTTGCAGAGTTGAATAACTCAGCCGTGGCAGAAAGAGTGAAGTTAGACTAGCAGAAGCAAGGGAGAAAGTTTTCAGCTGAGATTTGAAAAGCAATGACAAACTGATGAGGTGGACAGGGGCAAGAAGGAACACAAACAGGAGCTGTGGTGGAGCAAGCTCTCCCCCAGGCTTTGTGTAGGGACATAAGGAATAAGGACCCAAATAAAGAGATCCCAGTCCACTAACTGCCCACATACAAACAGCAGCCACCAAGATGGAGTTAGATTTCAAACTATCAGTACAGTGAACCCCATACAAGAGGCCCTTCCTTGGTAATCTCCCACTCTAAGGCACTGCCCCAAACTGTCCCCAAAAATAAAGGGGTGCGTGTTTCAAAAGCACTCAGCAGTGGCTTAGCACCTATGTTCCCACAGAAGTCAATGGGAGTCATTTTAATAGGAGCAGAAACAAAGCCAACCCTGAGAGCCTGTGAAAATCCACACCCGTAATACACAACTCAGCCCCTCTTTATTAGACACATCCTTATCCAACCAATATTTGTTGGTCCCTTGAGTGGTCACATAAGACAAGGTTCATTCCATTTTGCTGGTGGTGCTTGAGAATTATTGTTATTATTAATTATTTGCATTACCATAACTCTTATGAGCCCTAGTCTTGACCCTGGACTCCATTGTGCTAGGCACAGTACAAACGCAGAACAAAATATGATCCCTGCCACAAAGAATCCAGAATGGGCATGTGCCCAGACGGATCCAGATAAGAGTTCTTCGCTGCATAATCTTTCTACTGACTCACCCTGTGTCCTTAGGCAACTCACTAAGCTGCTCTCAGTTCCCCATCTTTGAAATAAGGATAGGAAATACTCAGCTCCCAAGTGAGCGCTGGGTTGATTAATTCATTGATTTTTCTAGAGTGCCTTGAGCTTCGTGAATGAGATGCACTACAGAGGTGCAAAGTATTGTCATTATTTATATAATGAGCTGCAAGTCACAGACATCCCTCCTGGCTTTCATGGGACAGCCTGGATTCTAAGTGGTTGTTTGGTTCAGTAATCTTGAAGCTAGGCTTCCAGGGCACTTCAAGCATCCCAGTGACCAATACTACGTTATCATGACATAATATAGTGTGATCAAGGTGTGACATGCCACATGGCATGCCAACATCATAGTGCGATATACTAAGGGCATGACAAATTTATCATAATGTGACATTAGCGTGTTCCATCATGGTGCTGTTTGCATCACCCCACCATGCCACTGGGTCACAACTCAAACATTCTGATATTACAACTTAGCAACTTTATCCCAGAAAGTCGAGAACACAAAACTCCAATCTTCCCAGCCAACTCAAGCAATTAGTCCATTTTATCTTTGTCAGACTATTACGATAAATCTCTCTATAAGGAAGGTATTAGCCGGTCTAGTTGGGATGGACAGGAGAGCCTTGTAAGAGAGCAAGTCTGAACTGCCAGCCCTTCTGTGGTAGGACAGGTATGTGTATGTAGTAGCTGGCACATAGACGCAGAGGAATTGATAGCCTGGATCAAACCCAAGGTCCATTTGTCCGGTATCCTGTTTCCAACAGTGACCAATATCACATGATTCAGCGGAAGCTGTAAGAACCCTAAAGTAGCACATGTGGGGTAATCTGCCCCCCACATTAGGTCTCATCCTCATAGACTTTAAGGCCAGAAGGGACCACCATGATCATCTAGTCTGACCTCTTGGACATCTCAGATCACAGAACCTCCCCCACCCTCTCCTGTAGCAGACCTATGACTTCTGGCTCAGTTACTGAAGTCCTCAAAGCTTGATTTAAAGACTTGAAGTTACAGAGAACCCACTATTTTACTCTAGTTCAAACCAGTGTGTGATTGGTCCCAATGCTGCAGAGAAAGGTCCTCTGCCAACCTGACCTGAGGGAAAATTCTTTCCCGACCCCAAATCCTGATCTCCAATAGCGAGAGACAGGCTTCAGGATGAGGTTTACCATCCCGTCCAAAAATGTTGTTCGTTTTAACTGTTAGAACTCTGGGTATTCTTGTTATCCACGTAAATGTCCACCCCCCTTTCGTGAGAAGGGACGGCGTACTGTTCCTAAATGATATCACTCCGGCGATGGCCGTGTGTGACGGGTTCTTTGTATTCAAATGCAAACTCTGTATACTCTCCAGTAAATATTAGTCACTCTTTAATTCCATCCCACTCTACAAATGTGGCATAAGCTTTTATTCCTTTAGTGTTCAAATGCTCAGCTTCTCTTCCTGCCATTTCACTGTGCGTCCTAACAGTGCCCTCTGCTGTCAGTGTCCACACAGAAATGTTGGTTTAGACCATAAGATGAATGGGTTTGTTTTGCCGTGTGTAATGAGACTATAGAGTTTTTAAACCAACTAGAAAACTCAGCATGAGCTGGAGATCTGTGCTGCCAGCGGGGAGTGGGAGGGCAAGCTGATTTATCTGGATGTGTCAAGAAATTTAATCTTTCACTTTCTACCTTCTGCAATGTGTCCCTTGTTTTCAGGCAGGCAGAAAAGAAACTCTCCAGTATGAAATTCCCCTTCTGGGAACTGCCCCGAGTCCTACAGCAGAAGGGGGCGGGGGGCTACCCCGTTATTCTGGCTATATTAATTCCATTGATTCAGTGGTCTGTCCTTGTCTAGTCTGCCCTCCTCTATAGCACAAGCCATAGAACTTCCCCAAAATAATTCCTAGAGAAGATAGTACAGAAAAAACATCCCAGCTTGATTTAAAAATTCCAGTGATGCTGAATCCATCACAACCTTGGATAAATTGTTCCAACGGTTAATTATTCTCACTGTTAAAAATGTATGTTTTTCCAGTCTAAATCTGACTAGTTTCAGTTTTCAGCCACTGGATCATGTCAGACCTTTCTCTGCGAGACGGAAGAGCCATTATTAAATGTAGATATTTATGGACTGTAATCAAGTCACCCCTTAACCTTCTTCTCTGTTAAGCTAAATAGACTGAGATTTTGGAGTCTATCACTATGAGGCAGATTTTCTAATCCGTTAACCATTCTTGGGGCTTTTCTCTGAACCCTTTCCAATGGGAGTTAGCCACGTAAATACTTTAGTGAATCTGGGCCTTAGTTTTTAATGGGACAGCATCTCTCAAGATTTGTCCCAGGGTAGCTATAATTTAGTGTACCTTAGTGATTTGAGTAACTCAGTGAGAGCTCGAGTTTGTAGCAACACGGCCACTTCCATGGTAGGACTGAATTGTGACATCGCTATCAACGAATGTTAATGTCACTGCTAAAAGCAATCAGAGCTGGGGGACATGAATAGGATGAGAGTTGAAGTGTTGTCTGTTACGGAAAATGACTTTCTATAATTGCCCCCGAACTTTTTTAACCAACCTCCTCTATTTACAAGTTAAAAGATGGATGTTTTTCTAACTGCCTACCTCGCAAACGCAACCTCACAGCTAAAAGTCTAGAGGGTTTCTTTCTAGCTCAAACCTGGTCAGCCTATTTGACAGGTCTGTTGATGACACATGAGCTAGAAAAGAATCCATGTCACTTGCACTGTGGTGGCTCAACACAGTTGAGAGATGCTAAAGTGCTAATATATTTTAGTGAGTAAAGTCAGCAGCTCCGATATGACGCTGAATACACACACAAGCCATAGATCTGATGAGTGAAATGTTGCCGCTTTAACATGGTTGCTTTTCAGAGCAGATCTACACTTTAAGGGACAGAGAGAGAGAAGGTGGGTGAGGTAGTATGTTTTATACAACCAACTTCTGTTGGTCGAAAGCTTGTCTCTCTCATCAACAGAAGTTCATCCAATCAAAGATATTACCTCACCCACCTTGTCTCTTTAATATCCTGGGGCTGACATGGCTACAACTACACTAAATACTTTAAGGGACATCCTTATTTACACACAGAGGGACCTGCATCTGCACTCCTCACTCAAGCCACTCTCCCATTTGACTCCACTGGGAGTTTTGCCAGAGCACGGATGACTGGATCGGGCCCAAATGTCAACAGAAGCGAGGGGAAGGGAAATATAGGACAAGAAAGTAGCAGTTTAGTGGGTCATTTGGTTTTGTTCATCAGCTTTCAGCTTCTGTTAAACTTAATCTGTTTGGGTAGCCTCTCACTCCCATTGATCTAAATCCGAACTTATGGAGTAAAGTGATCAGAGGCTGATCCTGGGTCAACTGAAATCAACGGCGACAGGCGTGAGCTGTTAGCTCCCCGTGCTACAGCCCTTCATGCCCTTTCTTGATGTCACAGCTTGCACTTTCGCTCTGGCAGGTATATCCAAAAGCCTCTGCTCCTAGAGGGGAAGAAGTTTGATGTCCGTTCTTACCTCCTCATTGCCTGCACGGTGCCTTATGTATTATTTTTCGGCCATGGCTATGTCCGACTTACCTGCACCCACTACAATGCCACTTCCGATGACCTCACTGCTCATCTGACCAATCAGGTAAACTTGAAACTATATCCATCTGTCCACCCTGTGTGATCTGATTGGATAGTGCCAGGAGGTCCCTTTTGTGCCCATAATTCGGTAAAATGATGGACTACAGGTGTCACTATTAGCAAGTGGGGAAGTTGACTTAGGTGCATGCTGAGAGGCAGTTCTGACAGACGGGACTCCCAAAAGCAGGAGGTGAGAGGCTACTGATGTGGTTCATGAGTATGTGACCCTAGCACTTTGGCTGGTATGGGAGTGATTGGATCAGGATCACAAATGCACTATGGCCAAATGGACAGAATACTGGATTTGGATTCTGTTCTCTGCCACTGATCTGTTGCGTGATCTTAGGTGAGACAGTTCCCCTCTCTGGGTCTCTTTTCCCTTAGTCTGTCTTGGGTATGCCGATCGTAAGCTCTTTGGGACAGGGACAATATGTCGCTTGACTGATATGGGGCTGCCATAATTCAAATAAATAATAATCCTGCAGCATGCAAAAGTGTCTTTAATAAAACAGGTCTCTGGCTAGCTCTTGGAATTAAACCTTGATCTTTGCCAGCTTTGCTACCTCCGAGTGAGATCCTTGCACTGGCCCTGTTATCTGCCAAACGCCCATCCCACCCTCTCTCCCGCTAGTAACAACCCCTAAGGGGGCAGAAGCTTCCTGTGAATGAGGAGGCAGAGGGATAGGAGGGGGAACAAGGCAAGCTATTGAGACTCTCGGGGGAGGGGAGGAATTGGATCCAGGCTGTGAAGGGGCCTCCTGGTAGGTCCTACGGCCATTCCTATGGCATTTCGATAGCAGCTGGTGCCCAGTGCCCGGTGATTGGCACCCTGACCTCTGCCCAGGTTTTGGTGCCCTCTCCTGTCCCCCACCTGCCCTGGTGGATGGTGCCCTTACTCCTGTCCCTCCCCCAGGATGGGTGTCTGTGCCAGGACCCACGGCAGCTAGAAGGTGGGACCCGGGCTGGGCCAGGGAGTCCTTCTTGCTCCCCGGTGGCTGGCCCAGTCTCACGTGCTGCGGTGGCTGCTCCAGTCCCTCCTCCAGGTCCTGCTGTCCTCTCTGCCCCCACTTCCCTCCCATGCACGTGGGGCCAGAATGCAGCTGGATGCCGCTCGAACCCCCACAATGTATTGTGAGGGTGCAAACCAGTGGGTGGGGTGGGGGGGTTGAGACATTGATCCGCCACCCCCAATATTTCCACACACACCTGCCCACCCCCCCAGTTCCATGGCCCCTGGTGATCTCACTGCTCAACATATGCCAAGCAGGTGACCAAAGTCTGCTGGAAGTTTTGCTTCACAACACCTAGGGCTGACCCCGGCGGTAGAGAGTAAACGGGCACTTAGGAAAGAAACCACAGGGAAGAAAACCATTTTCCCTGTAATGCATTTGCTCCCTCCAGCAGAATGGTGTGTTCTGAAGAGCCAGGTAGGGAGCTCTCCCAGGCTCGCCCACTTTGGTTCTTGCAGGAGTTTTATTGTTATTGCAGAAGGGTAGCTCAGGACACAGATTATAGCCACTTTCTGCAATATACGCTATTATCAACGTGTTTTCCTGGAACAGAGTTGTTTGCTCAACTCGAGGGCTGTGCACAGGGGATTTCAAGTGCTCAGGTGAGACCCTCTGGCACAACTGACATCAAACAAGGGACAGGTGCTTATTAGCAGGGCATAAATTACCTAGAAACCTGTCGGGAAGAGGGGGGGAAGGTAACTCACCTGAGCAGCTGGCAACATGTAGGACTTTTTTTCAAACTACACTTGATTCCGTCCTGCCTCCCCCACGCAAGGAAGCCAGCCATTTTTCTCTGCTATGTTTCAAATGTCAAGCAGAACCATTTCCCACAGAGCATCTCTACGAAAACACCCTGCAGTTGGATAACAAGGTAGCTTGTTCCTCTTGCTGCAGTGAACTTTGCTTTGCTAAACACCAGCCCTGTTCGGGGTTAAATGCACAATCATCTATAGCTTGACACAGAAAGTGTAGAATCAAAGCTTTGTTCCAAATGTATTTATTTGTAAACTTACACAGAGCCTATGACTAATTTGGCATCCAGTTTCAATGCTTAATTAATTATTATTATTATTGTATGTGTTATTGTATTACCCTAGCACCTAGGAGCCCCAGTCATGGACAGGACCCCACTGTGCCAGGCGCTGTACAAACACAGAACAAAAAGCCAGTCCCTCCCTCAAAGAGCTTACAGTCTATGTATGGGCCAAATTCATATCTGATTTCGGTCCATTGAAGTATACGAACCAACGTTAGCACATTTGATCCACTTTGTTTGCAGATGGACTCAAACCAAAACCCTGATTCATGTTCGAAATTCTGGCCCAGATCCCAGTTTTGCTGCTGGTCCCTGTCTTAGTTTTGCATTTTACCTTCATCTAATCCCAGCTAAGGACACATCTGGGGAAGCCGAGGTCTTGCACCGGGGACAAACACTCCCTTTCTCCCACGCCACCTCATTCATACACCCCTGCCGGCCATTCAGTGGCTTTCCGTCCCAGGCGTCAGGCAACAGCTCATCAACAAAGCGGGGCTGATTTTGTTTCCCAAGCAAGCACAAGGGAATCTGAAACTGGATCATGAAACCTTGGAAGGAAAGCTGCTGTTGTGTGTGTTTCCATCGCCAACCCCCCCACCCCCCTTTTCTAAAGAGCTTTGCCGTGTTTTATAAACCATCTGTGAAAGGTTCTCTCAGCCCACATCAAATTTGTAGTTATTGGGCCAGACCCTCGTCTGATGTAAATCAGTGCACCCCATTGAAATGAACGGAGGATTTGTCCCATTATTTTTTACAAACGCGTCTTGTTCCTTTGACAAGATGAAGTTTGTTCCGTCCAGGGCCGGGGCCTTGTGAGGAGCTGCCGCAGATGCTCAGCACCTCGCAGGATCAGGCCCTCTGTTTTCAGGGGGCACACGCTGGCAGGAGCCCATCTGCACTTATCTTATGAGGACAGGTGGGTGTGGGAAGACAAAGGACCCCTCTGCCGACACGTCATGGGGATCAACAAGTGCGAGGCCTCGTTTGCCTCTTGCCCTGCCCAGGGGACAGTGCATTCAGCTGAAACCCAGGGTGAGCCGCGTGGCAGACAGCTCCACTAATCAGAAGTTTTGCAGCTTAGCAGCGATTGCATGGCAGATACGTTTGCAATCCTGCCCAGCTGTTGCATAAGGAGAGGGGATTTATCTCTCCCTGGCCGATGCAAACACCCAGGGCTTGATAAGGCTCCACCTTACCCAAGGATTAATGAGCCAGCGGAATTGAAACTCCCTCTCCCTGGTTTCCTCTGGAGATACACACATGTGCATGTTTCCCAGGCGCTCCCTCGCCAGCAGAGAGACGCTCTCCGGAAGTGGGTTTATTCCTGGTCGTGTCGGGGAGGGTTACACTAGGCCAGGAGCATGGTGAGCAGCGGGCTCTGTGCTCACAAAGAGAAATGCCTTTTTAGAAACAACACTGCTGCTGCTGCTTATCACAGTTGCTGGGTAATGGGGTCTGCTGTAAGCATGCGTCACAGGCTGCCTGCCCCTCAGCTGGTATCATCTAGGCAGCAGCCAGGGGAGGGGAAGGAGAAGGATAATATAGAGCAGGGGACTGGGGGAGTATGGGACTCCCAGTCCCAGGGTCTGATTCTCAGTGACTTCATTCCAGGACTTGGGCAGGGAATGGGGAAGGGGGTTAATGTAGTTTTAAGCCACCTTTGGAGCACTCAGTATATTCTGGGGCCATACAGGGGCCTGCCCTCCATGAGGCTGTTTCTCATGGCTCCCCAGGAAGCCGAGAATAGCTGCAGTACAGTGCCATGTTCCCAGCAGGCCTCCAATCCAACCCTTAGTCCTGGGGCTGCAAGCAGGGCTGGGGTAGAGCGCTGGGAGGGGCTGGGGAAGGCTTGTGCAGCGAGTGTTCTCGGGGCTGTTTATCCCCACTCCAAGCAGCATCACGGGGCCTTAATGCAACTGAGAATCAGGCCTCTGGACTCTGTTCCCAGCTCCGTCACTGACTCGCTGTGTCTCCTTGGCCAAGTCACTTCACCTCCAGGCTGGGAAGCAAATGGACTTTCAGGCTTGGCAATGTGGCACTTTCTAGCAGGTCCTCTCTGCACTGTGACCGCTAGATAGGACACAGGGTGTGCTCAGACTATCCTTGTGTCCACTCTGCACCCCTAGTTCTGATTGCACTCGGGCTGCCTGAAACTTGTGCATCAAGGGATCGATCCTTCGAGGCACTGAGCGCCCTTAACGCCCACTGACTTCAATGGACATTGAGGGCACTCAGCACGACTTAGTAACATCCTGCAGGATCAAGCTCTAGGATTCCAGGTCTCAGCTCACCCACCCCCCATATTTCCCAGGGTGTCAGCAAACTCACTCATCTTAGCAATTCAAGGGGCCGACCTGCACCCTGACCTCCAAGAGGCCAATGGGGATTGTGGGTACCCAGCACCTTCCTGAGCAGGGTCCCAAAGCAAAACAAGTCTGGATCTTCCAGCCGGGAATTCTGACATGGGAGCCAGAGCCCTAAAGCCATCAGAGCTAAACCTTCTGAGCAAGGGTGCTTGGGAAGAACAGACTGGCCACAAATCCCAGCCCATAGCCTTCCTTCTGCAGTGCTCACTTTGGATCCGCTTGCTTTCCCGTCTTTTGGGCCAGATGGCAACTCAGAATATGGCTTGAATCTGGTTCCTTCATAACCATTCCTCTCTTCCCCTCCCCATTCCTCAGGGCAGGGAGGGGGAAATCTAAGCCTTTTAACTCACCATCCCTTTGCTTTCTCCATCCCCCCTTTCCCCTCCAGTACATGCAGAAGAAAAACCCCCTATACAGTCAGCTGAAGGAGGAGACGGTGTGGCGGATGGAGCGCTTTAACAGCTACATTAATGATAAATTCAGGCAAGCCAAGGGCCTCCCCAAGGACTGGGTCTTCACCGTGTTCACTGTGAGTGTGCGGGGAGCCCGAGTGCATGCGCGGCGTTAATTAGGCTTCCTGGAACAGGAGGGAGGGCAAATCTGCTTGCTTCTCAGGTGCCTGAGGGGAAACAGAGGTGCATCAAGTGAGGAGAAGGGATTGGCAGCACCATAGTAACCGTTTACCAGCAGATGCTGAATGCGGTAGCATTTTACTGTTAAAAACCACCCTAAAATATGCATCAAAAACGACTGGAGTCTTTCGTCTTGTTCATGTCAATGTAGATTTTATTTTTACATCACACTTTGAGGTGACTTGTCATGAAAGAGGGTGATGGGCAGCAATTACCTGGAGGAGTGCTCTAGTGTTATCCACAAAAAGAACAGGAGTACTTGTGGCACCTTAGAGACTTTTTGCAGATACAGACTAACAGAGGCTGCTACTCTGAAACCTAGTGTTATCCAGGCTTTCAATCCAATGCCACGGTACTACAGTGACAAGTCAAGGGGCGTCAAAGAGATGTCAAAGAGATGTCCAGCTTGACAGGACTCAAGCCGAAGTGTGACCGCACTTTTGAAGGCCTTTGTATAAGCCCGTTCATTTATGTCCGGATCCCTTCACATACACGCTGTTCTTAACATAAGAATGGCTGTACCGGGTCAGACCAAAGGTCCATCTAGCCCAGTATCCTGTCTACCAACAGTGGCCAATGCCAGGTGCCCCAGAGGGAGTGAACCTAACAGGCAATGATCAAGTGATCTCTCTCCTGCCATCCATCTCCAACTTCTGACAAACAGAGGCTAGGGACACCATTCCTTACCTTTGCAGTGGGACTCATAGACTTTAAGGTCAGAAGGGACCATTATGATCTTCTGGTCTGACCTCCTGCACAACGCAGGCCACAGAATCTCACCCACCCAGTCCTGTAACAACCCCCTGACCTATGTCTGAGCTATTGAAGTCCTCAACGTGTGGTTTAAAGACTTCAAGGTGCAGAGAATCCTCCAGATTGTGGCTGGATAACCCCTCCTATCATGAAGAGTGGGACAGACCTAAAAGGCTTGATTTCCACCCTGCACTCACATCTTGCACAGGTCGAGAGGGGAAGGAAGTTAGGGATGGAAGTTAGGGATGGAGTCTCTGGGGCCAGCCGGTTCATCAGTGTGACCCGGATGGTGCCGTAAGGTTCCACGCAGCTTGAAACATATGCGGTGGATGGAAATGAAGGGAGCAGAGCTCAGAAAGGACAAGGGCTGTTAAGCTTTGTTGTGGAGCTGTTTAAAACGACACCCAAAGGAAATTAAATGCTAAAAACATTAAGACAACATTAGGTTTTTCACCCAAAACCTTAGGGAACCAGCTAGGACGCAACTCGGGCTAAGTTTGCCAAAAGTTTCACTGCCGTTCTGAAACCTTTCCACCAGCCTGGGCTCAGGTTATTGGACAGAAACCATAAAACACAATCAGTTCAACTCAAAACCAAGCAAAACCTGGCAGCGGCTGCTCCGTTTTGCCCTACGTTTTTGGCTTCTTGAACACAAAACTCAGGGAGTCTGTGAATCGTCAATTGCCACATTTGCCCCCAAGTCTGGTTGTCCCTTTTAAAAGAGTAAATGAAGCAGTATTTCTAGGAAGTTGGTAAACACTCGTTCTGAGTGAGGATCCAGGCTCAGTTCCATGGTGCAGTCAGTGTGATAGCACCATGGAGTAGTGGGTTCAAAAGCAGTCCCCAAGGAGGAAGTCAGAGAGATGGGTGAAGGTCGCATATTATGTTATCCGGTAAACAGTATTTGGCCTCAAGCTTCCAACCGGAGAAGGAGCACAGGGGGTGGCTGTCTGCTTGAAGAAGGGAAGGCTTGTGAGGAAATGTTGTTCACAAGCCAACAGGGTCCGTGGGTCTTATGATCTCAGCTGGAATGGCTCCATGGCCCGCCTAATATGAGAAAATCCACTCTGGAGATAGTGGGTGTCTCTGGAAATAACACTTAGATGGGAAAATCTTGCCCTGAGATGTGGGTTTTGTGCCCCATTTCACATGTGATTTGGCTCTCAAATCCTCTCACTTTACAAACCTGGGAAACCGTCTCTATAGAGACAGGGAAGGGGAAAGTTTGCTGGGCCGGTTGGCCTGTCGCGACTAAGACGCTGTGCTCCTGTGTGTTTGGACTGACCCTACGATGCCGTTATTGTGTGTCTTTCAGAAGAGAATGCAGCAAATCATGATGCAGTGCTTCCTGGCTGTCAAGTCCAAACTTGAATGCAAACTGGGCTACTTTGATCTCATTGGCTGTGATTTCTTGATTGACGAAGACTTTAAGGTATTTAGCAAAATCTTGTTCCCTTTATGCATGCAGCCACTTCTGAGGAGGAAGGAGCCAAATGTTTAACAGCGCATAGCAACCCTTCCATGACAGTTTAAGGTGGGAAGTGAATACTTTATCCAGTTAAAACTGTGATTGGAATTTGGGCAGGAATGTGGATTTAATAGCGAAAAATAGCATGGGATCTTTAGTGACCAGAAGCCCCCGGTCTCAATTTTACATCGCCTCTGAAAGATGGCGGGCCGGATACTCAGCTTGTATCAATCAATGCATCTGCCTTGACTTCGAAGGAGCGATCCTGATTTACACCAGCTGAGTATCTAGCATTGAAACTCCAACAACACAGAGACCCTTTCAAGGCTATGCTCGGGCATTGGATCGTTTACTGATCAGCCAGTCACCAGCAGAACTTTCTAGATGTTCCTCGTAGGTTTGCCATCCACGTACTGATCCATCCCAACACGACTTAGCTGGGGAGAACTGATAGAATCACAGAATAAAGTGGTAAATTGGGAAGTACAAACAGAGAAAGAAAGAGAAGAGAGGGGAAGGGACTGGCTATAACCATCACGTTGCCTCAAAGCATCAAAGTCCTATAGAACCACCTGGCCTGAATACAACAGAAAGCCATCTGGTTCACTTTGCTTTTGTAGACCTGTTGCTAACACAGACACTAACTCAAACATATTCCAGCAAACCCTACTACAGAATGGCAGTCATGTATGCAGCACAGGGCACGGTGCCCACACAATAGTGTCCTTTGTGCAGGAAATCAATGGCAAGAGAGAGTTAATGGCAAAGACATAGAAACTGGCACGTCTCAAATTTCGGTGGCAATTGTCTTTTTGCAATGTTGGCATGCAAAGCCCTGGCTGTGTAAACCTGCAATAGAAAGGGAGATCCAATATCACTCTAGTCTGGCAATCCCTCTGTGGTTAATTAAAAGCGTTAGCTCCGCTTCAGTGCAAACATGGCCCCTGGAGACTATTACGTCTCTATGTATTTTGTATATGGACAGATAAACAGATCGGTTACTTTAGAATGGTTTGATCTATAACCGTGTGTGTGCGGGGGTGATTTCAGTGCTGAGAAACAGGAGACCCAGCAGTGATGAGCGGGTTTGGAAGTCTGTTAAAGTGGGTAAAGGGAGTAAAGCAGGAATTTATGTCTGTATTTGTTTATCGCAGGCTCTTCCCTGTTCTCTTGTCCTGTAGGGAGACAGTGAACCTGATTCTCCGTTCACGTACACCACTGTCAATTAGAAAAAACTTTACTGAAGTCAGTGGAGATACCTCAGGGTAGAACTGGTAGAAGAGAGAGGAGACTCAGGCCCAGCACCTTTAACCCAGTGTTTACGTCTGTATGAATACCATGGTTGCTGGGGTGATTGTGTAGTTCCTGGCTGGGCTTCCTGTTGTGTAGGGATCTGCACCCATAACACACAATGGGCCTGGTTCTCCTCTTCACCGTACACCAGTGACTTCAGTGGAGTCTGATTCACATCAGAGGAAATGAGATGCATGAATGTGCTGTGTTCTGCACCAGAGCAGGGCTCCCCTTCTAAAGGGGCGCGGCTGTGATGTTCATGTTTCTCATTCCCCAACGGCCCACGTGGAAGGGCGTGGCTGTAAAACAGGGTGGAGGGACAGGCTGGATGGCGGAAGGGCTTTATAGTGGCAGGCATCACTTTTGAGTTCCGTTACGTCTTCAGCTCCGGTCCAGGATGAAAGGGATTGAAAGACGTTGCCATCTGATGGATTTCCAGTGGCCTAGATGATACAAACCTTGGGGGGTGGGGGTGTCTTTAGGGCAGTGTGGCATGTCCCCTTGGTTGTCAGTCTAAGCCGGGAAACCGAGGGCTAACTGGGTCACATGGATGGAGCTCTTCTCTCACACCTGGAACTCCCTCCAGAATGAGGAACGTAGGTGGGACCGGGGAAGCTTGCATCAACAATGCTTGTGCTGGAGCTGTGCTATAGGTACGGGTGATCTCCCCCAGAGCTGTGCGTCCAGCACCAAACTCATATACACACAGTTAAAGGAGTGAATTGACGGGAGGGAAAGTGCCGGTAGAAAGGGCTAATTTGAGCTTTCTCCCATCCACGCCCTTCCTTCCTCCTTGTTCCAAATGTCTAGACACCCCTGAATCACTCCCCAGGAGGGCTCCAGGGTCCCGCATTTGCCTGGCGCAGTCTTTGAAAGGCATTTCTGTCCCACAGCATGGACTGCAGCACATTGGTTGCAGCGTGCATGCAAACAAGGCCCGTGGAAAGGACCCACAACCCCTCTGCAGCGCCGACCACTCTTGTCTCAGCTGCAAGGAGGAGGGCATGGCGGGGGGAGCGCTTGTTTGGCACAGCTGTTCTGTCTCCTCAAATAGTTTTGCCAAGACCCAGGGCACAAGACCCAGGGCTTAGGGTGAGTTCATTTAAATGGTCTCCAGTCAGGGAAGCAGCTGACAGGAAGGATTGCATCAACCAGGCAGAAGGGCCGCTCTCCTCAGGGAGACAGGCGTGTGGATCTTTTAGTAGCAATAAATGGATTCAGCCATCCAGCCACGGAAGAGCAGACTCCAGCTTTGCCTGCCAATTTGTGAAAGTCAAACACGTTGGGGATAAAGGGCCAAAGTCACCCATGCTGTGAACAGGTGCAATTCCATTCATTTCAATGGCACTGCTGCCCACTGGCTCCTGAGATTGTTGGGGCCCTGGCGTGGTGCGACAGAGAGACAGATGGTTCCAGGCCAATTTCAGGAGCTCAGGATAAAACCTGCTTTGGGTGCGGGGGAGAGTCTGCCAGCTAACTTTGTGACCTTTGGCAGCGCTAATTGGTTCCCTTGCGGGGAGTTCAACAGAGACTGAAAGCCCCTCTCGCTACTCCAGTGCGCTCAGGATTTCAGCCCCATCCACACTGTAACCTGAGACCAGGCCTCTTTAGTATTATTATTAATTGGCGGCAGTGCGGTGATTCTGGATCAGGACCCCATCGCGGCTAGGTGCTGTACAAACGTGGGCCCCACAGAGCTCTGGGCTCGGGACCACACTCCGCACCAGCCCTGCAAAGCTGCTTCTGAGCTGGGGATTCACATGCAAAATAAGCACAAAGAAGCACAAATCTCTGCACCCCCCCAACCCCCTCAAAGGGGTGAAGGAGTTTGTATCTGAGGTTGCAGCTGTAGCCAGTATCTTCTTAATTAGTTATGGAGGCTAAATCTTTTAAATGTTACTTTCCTGGCAAGAACGCACGCTCCAAGGTAACCCACACAGATCACTGTTTGTGTGTATAAGCACATGCATCCCACCCTCACCCCCCCAAAGTGTATGCATTGATGGAACCATATTTACCCCACAACTAGTTTCAAAGGCAACACAAGAGATAACACATCACAAGCTCCGGGGGGGGGGGGGGGGGGAAAAAACAGAAGAATACCCACTAGCCATTGTAGCTTTCATAAGGGCTGCCTTTTGTTGACAAAGTCGCTGGCTAAAAGACGTAGCATGGCAGGAGTTATACGTGCCAAGGGAAAACTAAACTGCCCTAGGGAGGGAAAATGGCCTCGCCCCACGGG